CAGTACTCGTGTAGGATTTGCCAGTAATAGGCTTGCAAACGCTGGTTTCATTCCGATCTGATATTCTAGGTCCTCACAGACGGATGTTTCATGTGATAATCGCATCTTAGTCATCACGTTACATAACTGGAATTTTCGGATAATGTCATGTTCCATCAATATGATAAAGGGACAATATTCTTATACTAAATGTCATCCACACAAATCGCAATCAACACACAGGGTATGACATCATTTAAGTCGTCAGGTTTCAGATTTAAATAATCTGTCTTAATTGTACCCGAATATGATAGAAATGTACAAACAAGTTGGAATTTACAAATATACCTTATGCATATTAGTTTAAATATAACTTTCACAAATCGGATATTATATTGAATTCAATATTCACTAGTTCCAACACTGAAATAAATTTGAATCAAAGTATTGTCATTAAAATGTAAGCTGTCAAAGATTGGGAATAAAATTCATGAGCCCATTCAATAAATTTCCTTAATCTAAACTATCGATCGACCGTATTCAAAATATGTTTCCCGTTTGAATAACGACCGGCTTCAGAATGCCATCTATTGTGTTCATGTTGACGTTTTAGTTGCTATGAAATAAAACTGAATGCTTCGGCAAACAAATGTACATTAAATAATGTTACTGAATACATACATAATGTATTTCCGTCCCCATCCCCACAGAATCTTTGTTCGAGAAAAAAATAAATCAAAACTACCACGGCATTTTTTTTATCTTATCTATGCCAGGGGGGCGCTGGGGGCGAAAATGGATATGCAGCTGATCTTTGAATGTCTTGGAATCGCTTCTCTATATTGATTATGCGTATACTATGGATTTTTTTCAAATTAGAGGTGACATCAAAACGTCCTATCTCTCCTGGGTTTGCTATGTAATCATCTTTGAAACGATGCCCTCCTCCCCCTCACACACACACACACACACACACACACACACAAAGCGTTGGTTTCCCGCACTCGCCATATAGGTTTTTAAAGTCCAGGCTCTTAGCATCAATGACAAGGTTTAGAAGAACAAAACGTTCATTCGTAGTTAACGTATCTAAATATAGAACATGTACGTAAGGAAGGTGTGCGTTTAACATGTATGTCACTTGCGATATTTCGATTACAGCTGGGAAATTTACAAGAAAAGGCAAAAAAAAAACCCAATTTAATTCAATGCTGGATTTCTCCTTAATATGTGACCTTTTATAATCCTGAAGTTACATTGAACATTGGGAATTTCTACCTTGTCTCCAATAATATCGAGGAAGACTCTCCTCTCACTAGCACTATCATATAACTCATCGACTGTATTCGGGTTTAGCACTGTAATTGCCGCAAATCGTATGAGTATAGATCATTTGATTAAACGACACTCACTTTAGCATTAGCTAATCAAAATGTAAATTGAAAATAAAAATAATAATAATAATAATAATATGATGCTAGCAAGTGAGATGGAACGTGCGACCCCATGAAAATTCCACTTACATGGGAGTAACGTCTTTTTTTAATTTTTCAAAATAAAATTCTTATTTCCAAACATGTACAAATATGATACAATCTTATACATACAGGTAGTATGTAATTTTAATTGATTATTTAAGGATGTCATAATATTATACACACTCGTGCACTTATATTTTACTTCTACACTCTAACCATTCACACCAACCTTACCCACATAGAAAGTAATCACGGTAATATTCGTAACTCAGATCCAATAACATGTACAAGAGGATCTGAGTTTGTAAAACAATGACAAAACAAAGCACTGTTTTGTCTGAAATAGTAAAAGTTAAAGCTGTAGTTAATGTAGACTCAACACGACCTTCTCCATTTATCACTATATTACGACGTTTGATGATACAAAACTTGGCAACAGACATTAAGAAATTGACAAAAACATATTCGCGTGTTTATTTTTCGCTCTGATGGCGATGAAAGAAAGGGGTTATATTTTCGCCCTGATGGCGATGATAGAAAGGGGTTGTCGCCTTTTCGCTAAGGCAGGGCAATCACTGTGTTTTACCAAATACGACTTGGTAGCGCTAGGGCAGGGCAATCACTGTGTTTTACCAAATACGACTTGGTAGCGCTAAGGCAAGGCAATCACTGTATTTTACCAAATGTGACTTTGTAGCGCTTATGAAAGGCGGTCATTAAACTCCACCAAATACGACTTTGTAGCGCCAAGGCAGGGCGATCACTGTGTTTTACCAAATACGACTTGGTAGCGCTAAGGCAAGGCAATCACTGTGTTTTACCAAATACGACTTGGTAGCACTAAGGCAAGGAGATCGCTGTGTTTTACCAAATACGACTTGGTAGCGCTAAGGCAAGGAGATTGCTGTGCTTTACCAAATACGACTTGGTAGCGCTAAGGCAGGGCGATCACTGTGTTTTACCAAATACGACTTGGTAGCGCTAAGGCAAGGCAATCACTGTGTTTTACCAAATACGACTTGGTAGCGTTAAGGCAAAGCATTCTCTCAACTACTGCTTGGTGGAGATTTATAAAGTTCATATGTTCTAAAGCACCATCTTATTTAATTCTAGTTTGGCTTTAAAAATCTCCCAATGATCTGTGGATGTTATATTCACTTTTTATCAAATGTAACAGAATTTAAAACATTGATATGATTTTGTGAAGGAATGTTTCGAACAAAATTGTGCATGCATTGGTTTTTGTTAAATTTCGTTGATATTGCGATAATTACAACATTGTTAGACACAAATTAATTTAGAGTAGGGAAAGTGTCATCACACCTTTTCTATTGTGACGTCATAGCAGTGTGTTTCTATGTACAATTAGTTACCATTCTACCGGTAAGAAGTTGACATTGAATTCTGACCAGAGGTCATGGGTTCTATCGAATCTAGGGGAGATGACGGGAACAAACGTAGAATTACATTGGACTCACTAATAAGGAGACTGCGACGGAATAACAAGGTAAAGTATGCTAATAGTGTTGACAAGACGAGATGGAACGATTTCAATTACGGCTTCTGAAAACAAGAATGTTTTTGCTTTAACAGAATCTATCAATTAGTGTGTCATTAATGATTTTTGTACATCCATTAAAACCGAAAGAATAAAAATCTGTTTTTTTTTTCCCTCAAAATTGATTTCAGGTTTAAAAGGATACTAAAATATAGTGACATCAACTGAAACAAAGCTATGCATTTCAATATCATCTGTTTTCCACGAAAGGTTGTGCCCTTTATTGACAATGCGAGTCGGGGAGCTGGAACGCCGATGTTGAATCTGACGAGGAATGCAGAACAAATGGTCTTGCAACAGCTTTGGGCGGAAGGGATCATACCGAAAAGACGTGAAGGGGGTGTGGAATTCATAATAGAAATGGGAGATAACAAACCAAACCGATCCTCACACAGTTGCTCTGCCACCACATTACCTGTCGAGAAATGTCGCACCGTGATACTAACACCGATTGCAAGAGTAGAGAAAATCATGAAAATCGAAGAAAAAATGGGTAGGGCCAAATTCAACCGAGAAATGAAGATCCGGGAACGAAGGCTGCCAAAACCGCTGAGAAAGCACGAAAGAGGCGTGAACACGCCTTCAATGGACAATAAGATTACGCCTGAGTTGGAAAGTTTACGTAAATAAAAAGTATTTTTGTTGTGTTTCATGTTTTATTTTATTTTTATTGTTTATCTTCAGTTATTTTATATAAATTTGTCCGAATTTTATTATACGAAATAGCGAGATTGGTCGATATTTTTACTGGAAGACACTGCGTCTGGAGTGTGCACAAAATATACCCATTATTCATTTACATTTATAGCAACATAGGAGTTAAGATTCAAACAGACATTAAACTGGCATTGGCATGAGAAAAACAGATGTTTAAGTAGCTCGCAACACACCGTAACATCATCATACAAGTTGTATACATCCATAAAAATAAAAAATATTTTTATTAATCTAAAACCAGACAGTCAGAAAATATTAACTAGGTTACGAATTGACCTTTGATTATAATTCGACCTTGTTATTTGGGAAGTTACTGACCAGCAAGTGTTACGCAACACCTAATGAACTGACATTGTCATCCTTTACATATTCATATTGGCTTAACTTTGAAAATGACGCTTCATCGCAATACAATCGTTTGATTAATAACTGGGAGAACACTTTCCATTCTGAAAGAAATCCATGAATTTCCATTGGTCTGCATGTACATTCTCTACAACCAAACACCTCAACAGATATCCCGATTGTGAACAATGTTTCAATCCACAGAGAAGGGATGGTGCCGTATTCTAAACCCTACAAAGCACCTTCAGAGAAGGTTTTTTTAAAAGTATCAAGCACCCTTACTTTTTTCTTTAAAACATCACGAACAGAGTCATCATAAAAAGTATTGATTACTACGAATGGCTGTCACGTGGGGAAGTTTATCATTGCTTTGATAAGTAGCTTATGGTTTTGTTGAGTTTTGTCCATTAAGAACTCACAAAAAAAGGAGAGACGAAGAAAAAAAATGATGCCAGCCCGTACTACATTTTTAAATGGTACAAGTTTACGTTACAATGAAGATACATGTGTGTTTTTTAAATCTTACATTTACTTTTAAAACTGATGTTACATTTCAGCATATTCTGACATATACGTTAACTGAAAAGGTTATTTTCACGAAAATCGTCGAAATAGACTACACACTATCTTCTTTTCTATATCCGAAAAATGAAGAGATATGATATAATCTCGATATGTCTATTGATCAATGTACCTATCATATTGTAAAACGTGTACGAACAAAGAAAAAAAACAAATTTAGACAATTAAAAGGGGGTAAAATCGTCAGTTATCACTTATTTTCCCTGGGAGATGATATTACCGGCATACTTGTGAAAACGAAATAGATTCACGTGTATTATGTTTGGATAAATGATAACGTGGAACTATTAAGGTTACAAACGGTGTAAACCCATCGGCTTGTTACATTCATGACAGTACAGTATTAAGCCACCTGGCATAATCTGTTTAGGTAAAGCTGAATGACAATGATGGAGGTATGTGTGGACTCGGTAGAGTCTGCCCAAAATGCAGAGGAAGGTGGTAAGCTATCAGAAAAGTCATCGGAGGAACGGCTTTCGACGAGCTAGATTAAAGGGAGATAACTCTTATAAAATTATCTCCCAGGGTAAAACTCCTGGACAAAATATGATTAGAAGATGAAATTATGCCCTGCACTGTACTCTAGATATGAATTTGCATATTTGATATTATAATTTCATTACAATGAAGTGTTTTTTACACTGCGTATTATGGGTGTACTCAAGATATATTTAATTAAAAAGAAGATTTCATAGTCTCATTATAATAAAGGAATCTTTATGAGACTTATGTGAACCACTATACTCTGTAATCTGATACTTTGTATGTACACACATGTATGTAAGGTATAAATGTGTTGTCAGTTATATATTCTAAATATTAAGGAGAATAATAATAATAACTGGAGGTTTTATATGAAATTTGTTAAATTCATAAGGATTTTAATTTATTTGTGAAAAAGAAGTCTCATAGCCCTTGTCCTGAGTGATTTTAGTATTTCATCAAGACAGGACATAATATACACGTGTTATACACTAATATGGGAAGTAATTGTAATTAATGAGTCACATGATAAAATATGTACATACCCCAATAGATCACATAGATCTATTAAGATCTTATTGGTGCTACTTTTTTTTTTAGTTTTGATGAAACTGAAAAAATGAGATTTGTTATCTATTTGCTCAATCCAATTACCACAATTTCAAATCGATTATTTTTCTCTCGATAATTTCTTTGAATTATTCCTGTAGAATATATGTTCTCTACAAAGTATGTTTTTAAAAAGTATATTAATTTCTATTTTTCCATTAGAAAAAAAACTAAAGCAAATCAAAAACAATAAAAACAAATAAAAACTAGGAAATATCTTCAGAATTTTGTGTATACAATTTTTGACTAGCAGCAATCACAAGTATGAAAAAGGGCTAAATGATATTTCATTGTGACAAAAACACAAAAGAGGACAGGCTTTTGTTTTTGTAAATATGATACTGGGGAGACTCATTGAAATTAATTACTTTGAGCAATTTTTACACAACATATCAAAATTAGAACTTATAGTATTTTCAAAGAGATGTCAGTAATTATTCTTTAGTTGAATGTATTATCTTTCAATGCCATTGAACCCATGTATCTGTATGAGAACACAATCTTACTTATTCTTACCATATATGTCCTGCAATAAGCCTGGGTGCCAACACCTCTGGCTTAAGGTAGAAAGATGGGCTTATAACAGGACAAAAATACAGCATCCTATACCTTTTAAATTACAATAAACGTGAGGAGTTATAACCCCAGGCATGTGAATAATTAAGAATGAATCAATATGGAACCATTAATATATATATTCTTTAAGGTGCAACACGTGTGGAGCTTTGTGGATCACTGGTAGAGGGTGGAACCACTCCTAGTTTAGGTAAGTGTGTCACAACATGTGGATCACTGGTAGAGGGTGGAACCACTCCTAGTTTAGGTAAGTGTGTCACTACATGTGGATCACTGGTAGAGGGTGGAACCACTCCTAGTTTAGGTAAGTGTGTCACCACATGTGGATCACTGGTTGAGAGTAGAACCACTCCTAGTTTAGGTAAGTGAGTCACTACATGTGGATCACTGGTAGAGGGTGGAACCACTCCTAGTTTAGGTAAGTGTGTCACCACATGTGGATCACTGGTAGAGAGTAGAACCACTCCTAGTTTAGGTAAGTGAGTCACTACATGTGGATCACTGGTAGAGAGTAGAACCACTCCTAGTTTAGGTAAGTGTGTCACAACATGTGGATCACTGGTAGAGGGTGGAACCACTCCTAGTTTAGGTAAGTGTGTCACAACATGTGGATCACAGGTAGAGGGTGGAACCACTCCTAGTTTAGGTAAGTGTGTCACTACATGTGGATCACTGGTAGAGGGTGGAACCACTCCTAGTTTAGGTAAGTGTGTCACTACATGTGGATCACTGGTAGAGGGTGGAACCACTCTTAGTTTAGGTAAGTGGGTCACACTACATGTGGAACACTGGTAGAGGGTGGAACCACTCCTAGTTTAAGTAAGTGTGTCACACTACATGTGGAACACTGGTAAAGAGTAGAATCTATCCAAATTGTTGTAAGTCTATCGATACATTTGGATCTCTGGTAGAAGATGGAATCACTTCTTGCTTAGGTAAGTGTGGATCACAGGTAGAGGGTGGAACCATTCCTAGTTTCAGTAAGTGTGTCACCACATGTGGATCTATGGTTGAGGGTAGAATCATTCCTGGTTTTGGATCACTGGTAGAGGGTGGAAACACTCCTAGTTTAGGTAAGTGTGTCACAACATGTGGATCTATGGTTGAGGGTAGAATCACTCCTAATTTTGGTAAATGTGTCAATACATTTGGATCTCTGGTGGAGCAGGGATATCACTCCTGGTCTGGGTAAATCTGTCGCTACAAGTGGATCTCTACTGGAGGATGGAATCACTCCATGTTTGGGAAAGTGTGGAAATTAATCACTAAATGGCACACCACATGTAGGAATAGAATTGTTTTGACCACTACTAAAATGGTGGACATTAATGTATTATAGTTTTTCAAATAACATAAAGTTGAACAAATTCCATTTATTTATTAATTAGAAATTTCATCCTGCAACATAGCAAAATACCTACCCCATGTATGTTAACTCCATGTAGGAGATGAGATGACATTGCAATGAACTATACTTACAGGAAACCATTACCAAATACAAGTTTCTGGTAAATAAATATTGAACTATCCTAGATCAGCTTTATTGATACTATTGTAAAACATGTGGTTGGTTATGCAATGGTAACATACTCACCTTTTACCTAGCCATCTGTGGTTTGATTCCTGCGATAAAAATGGAAAGGTAGGGGGTGACTTCTCCAACCATGTGGGTTTTCCCTGGGTACACCAGTTTCCTTTCCCAGTAAGAACCTTCATACATTTATATCAGTGATTAGTGTTAGTTGCAATAACTTGTTTCAAAATTGTTGTGAAGTAAATATTAAGTTTATTTTTATTTGTAATTACCAGGTCTTTTCCAGACAGTCAAGTCTCATATCTCCATCCCAGTGTTTGTAATCATCAGACCCCGCGGAGGGGACTTTCTGTACAGTGACACAGAAATCAAGGTCATGAAGCAGGACATTTCCCTCTTTATGTCTTCACCTGACCCACCAGATGGCTTTGTGATTGGCTGTCTCAACAGGTAAATTTATTGATTTCTTCTGAGATGTATCTATTGCCAATAAAAGTTTGCTACTATTAACTGGATTTAATAGTTTTAAGAAACATGTCTGATGATGAATTTCAGGCCTTATGTTTTTCTTTCAATTTTTTTCCCCGTATAGACAAACCTTAAAAATGCTGCAGTCATTACTATGCATACTGGCACCTCCTTTACTTTTTGATACAAATTAGTTCTTTATTTGAAAATTGAATTGAATTGCATCCAGAAATACCCACATGCTGCATTATAAAAGATGTATTTTGATGAAGTTAAACCTAACTATCGGTTTTGCTTATTTCAGTGATGGGACAGTAAACACAGGTCTGTGTAAGGAATTAATGGGTATGTATGCTTGTGTTTGATTAAAGTGAATACTTTGTTTATGCATGCCCTTAGACAAATTCAATTCATATTCACACCATGTGATCATGTGACTAAATTTTGTTGGTCTAGGTCAAAGGCTCCCCTTGACCACTTTAGAAAAAAAGCTTGTGTAAAAGATATCTTACAAACCCTTGGGCATCATGTTCTGCAATTTTTTAGACTTTGGTGGACATCATTTAAAGGTTAAAGGTCAAAGGATAGCTTTAATCACTAAATAAAAAGTTTGTATACAATATACACATGTATATCAATCTTGTGAGCACTGAGCACTTCTATATATTAGGTCAAGATCAGGGACAGGAGGGTGGTGCGGTTTCTGTAATTTTACATTTACAATATTTTCTCTGATATTATCCCTGTATCCTGATTTTGATACCAGACAAACTATTGCTTTTTTTTCTTAAATGCTTCACCTCTTTTTCAGCTTTGGCACGGCCATCACAGATGACATTTCACAGAGGTATGCTGTGTGATAAGATGTGGTTCATGTATACCAACACATTCTGCTGTGTTCATCTTTCATTATGATACTTCACAACGGTTACACACTACACTGAAATGACCAGTGATTGTGTGTTGATGGAACAATTTTGTATAGTATCTGTAAACCAACCAGCACTCTTACAATTGACACCAAGATGCGACAACAGACCCGTCAATAATACTGTATACCTGGTACTTTTTACAGGCTAAATATTTGTGATTTTCTTTCAAAACACCAAATGATATTTTATTGAATGAAAGTTTCACAATCTTGATGTAAAAGGACATGTAATACACTCATATGTCATTACTTCACAGATTAAACTACCAATTTCCTGCTAATATACCATTGAAAAGCAAAAATACCATCCCCACAAAAATAACTGGCTACACCTTATCAGAATCCAAATTTAAAATAGATAATACAAGGGCAAGATATGAACAAATGAAAGATTTAGGAGACTCCTGAAAAGTATAAGGAGAATAAAATAAGATGTTCCAAAAGTGTAAATGTCTTCTTCTTCTTCATTGATCACAGCCCACATTGTAAGTCTATACCAATACAAGTAGTAGTTGCAACAAGAACCAACCTCTCGGCCTTTAAAAAAGTCTTAGGCTTAAGTTTCAGCTGACTCAAGTCATTTTTGCGACAATATTTGTGATTTTTTTCAAAGACAATTTTTGACTTGTTACATGATATCGAACCAGGCTCACCACAACAAAACCATCAGCGTCTAATGAGTATCAGGAGCTTATAACTAAAAAGTAGAATAGTTCTTAATGAAATGATGACAGTGACCATTAAACTATCACATGAAGCAGTAACAATGATACAAAAAGGACTTGTCAGATTGTTTTGCCGTTTGAAATGGATCACGATAGTGTTGATTGTTTCAGTCAGATTTTTTACTCACTCATGTAATTTAGTTTCCTACAATAAAAGCCATTAAACTGTACATATTCATCTTAACTGTTGTAGCTTTTGATATGACCCCTGACCTTGGAGCTGCATTAGCGGCTGTGATTGATTGCGGATTTGAAAGAGTGCTGACAAGTGGTGGCCACTCTACTGCCCTTGAAGGACTGCCAATACTTTGTGACCTTGTCAAGCAGGTGTATACAAGATATCTTGATTTTTTCTTGTTTTCAAATTTTTTGAGGTTTTTTTTCTTTTCTTTTATGTTAAAAATACTCAACACCTCTTTCACTTGTACACTGTACACTTTAGATAGAAACCATTTATCCATAGGACTGGTTAAATTGATAACTGACCTGTAAATCATCATTTTAAACCAACCCTCCACTCATCTTTCTTAAAACGTCTCTTTTGTCTCTGCTGGACTTAATGTATTTTACTATAGTTTTTAAATATTTGTCTGTAATGATACCCTCTTTCATGGGGGTAGCGAGGATGGGGTCGATGGAAATCACTTTGTACGTCCGTCCATGTGTGTGTTCCTGCCTGCATCCATCTGTGATATGACAACATTGTGTACAAGGTATCTTATGATTCCATGATCAAAATGATTCAGTTCTTGTTTTGAGCGTCACCCCACTAAGGTCTACACCTAACTAATTTTGATGGTTATTGGTCAAGATGAAAGGTCACTTTGAAAAGCTTGTGTACAAGTTATAGCATAAACTCTCAACAGATTTAGATCAGAGGAAGAAGATGAGGGGGTGGAGGGTATGTCTCTATGACCCCTGCTCGCATTTTTTTTTATTTATTTATACTTTGTACCAATGTATTAATATTTTAGTCATAACATTCATTTATGTTTTAATCTAACATATACTGAACACAATTAAAAGTAAACAAAACTAGAATCTATTCTGTTTTAAATGTATACCAAGTAGTATGGATTTGGCACAATTTTCTTTTTTTTCCCTTTTTTTTAATGATATTTTGATATTTCTTTATTGCGTCCTGATTGTTTTTTCTTTTTTTTTGTTCTTTAGGCCAAAGGTAAAGTGATCATTATGCCAGGTCTGTATAGCATGTATAAGTTTTATCATTTTTATTGATCACCTAGTACCTAGTACAAAAAAAAACAAACTTTACATAATTTATGTGGTGATGACACATCTTTGAATATCCGTAATATACATACTAATTTCTCAGGATATATATGTGTAAAACTCTTACAGATTAATTGTCTCAGATTCTTGTAGTTGAAGTACCAAGTGCAACAGTTTTTGTTGCACGATCCAACAACCAAATCACTTAATTCTGTCCATACGGAATTCATCTTGGAATAAGCCAAGAACACGATGCATAATCTATAGTTTAATAGTGGACTGGGCTTATTACTAATTAACAGGACCATTGAATGGCAATTATAACTTTTATAAATAGCTTTAGGTAGGCTTATCACTATACATGTGGCATTTACCATATAAATTTATAATAAAAACTAATTTCATCTGGTAATAAGGTCATGTCTGGTGCAGTAAATATCTCTTTAATATCTATTGATTTTTCATAAGAATTTTCAACAATGCTGAACTATTAATCTTCAATAAACTCATCTCTTGATTTTGACATCATAGGTTGTGTTGGCTTCTGGGCTTATTGCAAAATAAATACAGTAGTGTTGGATTAGTTGATCATCAATTTAAATCAAATCCACCAATCAAATTATGTATATATATTTTTTATCTGGCAAAAAGCCCATGCAAGGTAATAAGCCCACCCAAGTTTATCACTGTTCTAAAGAATCATTTACAGTTGCTTGTATGTTGGACCCCAGGGCTTATCACGGGATAAATATGACAATAAGAGAAAAAGCAAATCTCGCTTATCATGTTGTTTAAACTATCATTTTGATGATCTCTTGACTTAATCATTTCCAGGAGGAGGAATAACAAGCCACAACATTTCCAGGATTATCCAGGGCTGTGGTTGTTCCGAGTTTCACTGTTCAGCTCGTTCATCACATTCCTCATCAATGACTTTTCAGAAACAGGGTGTAGCGATGGGAGCCTTATTTTCACCTCCGGAATTCAGTATGAAGACTGCAGATGTGTGTAAAATAAGAACAATTCTACAGATTTCCAAAAGTGAAATAAATTAGTTTTTAATTACAGTGTATGTATTGCTTGGGTTTTCTTGATTAATGACTTAGTGTAAAAAGTTTAAAAACTTAATTCCACCACGGACTTATATACAAGTCCGTGATTCCACCAAACAGTTTTATAAATTAAACATAACCTATCAGATATATTGAAATTATTTCTAAAAATACTTGTTATGGTCATATAAAGATAAAATGACATCACAATCATTTAAGCCTGGTGCATCCAATGAAAAACATTTGTAACAATATGAGTAAAAAATGGATTTAATAGTAACTTTGGAATGGTGTGTATCATAGAAAGCAGCATCTTAGTTTAAAGTACAACAGGTCAAAAGTCAGTCAATGCTGGACCGAGGTAAAAATTCCGTGAGTGACAGGTAGTGATGCACGCCTGATAACGGGCAGGGTGTGTACCCAAGTGGTGAAGCACCGTGGCAGAATATCGCCAGTATGATTGATCAGGACAGATAGATGCTCTCTTTTGTTTGCCTTGCACTGGCGAACATATTTGTAAGTAAACAAGATAAGAAACAATGTATAAGGTAGATCAAAGATGGGAAGTTGATAACGGGTACTCCTAGTCGCATGTGCCTTCATAATTAGATGCTCCGGGGGCTGGGTTATTGTTGTCCAATTGGGACTAGGCTTAAATTAAGTATTTGGGTATTACTTATACAAAGACAATAGCCGGCGGAAGTCTAGTCGAATCTGGAATCATGTAGCTAGAGAGAGTTGGGAGTCAGACGTGGAGGCGGGCAGAGTCCCGTATGGGACCTGCTTCGCGATGGAGCAGGCCCTGGCCAAGTTGGCCCATGGACATTTGTATGGAACTCTTTGATATGGACGGGCAGGTGTTTAGTTTTTGTCTGCCTTACACAGGTGGTTATTTTTGGTGCCACGACATGCTGCTGTATGTTGATTAGGAACTATCTTTTGTAATGGATATTAACGCGAAGTACTAACTATGGAAAACCACTATACGATGAAATAAACGTTTCGGTCAACCCAAGTAAACACCATGTTTAGTCATTGTGTAACACATTTCAGGGTATATTACACGTGTGACATAACATGCAAATATATTACATGGCCAAACTCCTTAGATAACATGCCAATTATATGCTTTTTATGTACTTATTTGTTTTAACTTCAGGTAGGCATATTGCTACATGGCATATGCTTCATCAGATAAGGCAAAAGGGATTCACATCCATACTGACGAGTCATAGCTAAGGGAAATCACTCCTAGGTATTAAAATAATGTTTTAAAGAGCATCACACACATTGAAGTATTGTTTATTTAAATGCGATCCTGTTGTACTGTATAATAGGAGATATTCAAGGATTCTTTTTAGTGGCTTAAAACTAAAGACATCAGTAAACAAGAGTTGTTTCCATAAAACTAAAACAAAAGACATAACAGTAAGGTTTCATATTTAATGCTGTACATTAATACATATTTATATACATAATCAATGCTGAGAGGTATCCATAAGTTAGTGGTTTTATTTCATATCAAACTTCTGTCAACCTTACACACCAGTCCACCACATCATTCACATCTCCCAAACACCTCCCACACACCATTTGCACCTCCCACCTAATAAACATCAGCAATTTACTCTCCTTGAATTTCTACAGCATGTGCAACAAAAAAAGCTTTTTGACATTGATGAAAAGGATATATATATAATTAGTACACATATTTCTGTGTATCCAGTGCCAGTGAAAATGAATGTAGGATTGTATTCTCTATAGGCCTCCTCACTAAACTTCATGCAAATATGTATGAAATGAAAATATCTGAGGTGACTTGATTTAATTTGAAGATAAAATACTTTACTTTTCTAAGCTCGATTTAATGTCAGATGAACAGTCTGTATCATGTTGAGGCAAAGGCTCCTTGTAGTAGCTGGTGGCTACCTTACTGAACAACATAAGGGAGGCCCATCACAGGCCATTCAAAGAAAGGTCAAGTGTCTTTCCAAAGAAGGCACCAAATCAGCCCATACTAGCCCTTTTCTCAGCTTCCTAAGAAACGCAAATCCTTTTAGCGATCTTAATCTGTGGTTGCATTGGCCAAAATGCTCCTGACTGACTTATCATGGCCCCTTGATATATTTCCTATGATTTAACGGTTGTAAGCAGGAATTATGATGGTGATGATAGGAAATAACTATGCCAATAAATACTATATCTGTTCTGTAATAAGTCCACTGGGCCAGCATGTAAACCTGGGCTTCATTATTCCTTCATTGGTTTGACCGGGTGAATTAGGGTTATTCCTTGATGACAAATTAGGAAGGACCTTCTTATCTACAAGTCTTATTCTGCTTTATGATAAGCCTTTCGATGCCTTTATCAATATTTGCAGAAGTTTGTTTCAATCTATACCCAAGTTTTTACCTTTAAAGTACCAACAAACTGATCTGTCTGCATGAACAACCAGGCCCCATGACTTGAGGACCATATTTCAAGACAATTTTGAATATGGATGTGTTTATTTCCAGACTTAGGTTTATTGATAGATAAAGGTGGGGTACATGTTTAAACTCTGCCATGAGAACACTTTGTACTTGGTTGCTAGCCTCTGCAGAATAAAGGAACATGAAATACAGAAATACCAGTTATGTCAATGTGGATGTCGGTTTACTGAGGAGTAGGGGGTCACCCAGGTTTATAAAGGATGATGTGGAAATCTAATATAAATCTAGCAACTCTTTTGTCTATAGACTGACAGTAATTAATTTCATAACTTTTATAATATCATTAAGGAACTTTTCTCATTTTTTAACACTATGATAATAGAGAAATGGAATTGATTTTCAATGTTATAAGCGATTGAGTGAAAGAGGTAACACCATGATGATAGAGAAATGGAGTTGATTTTCAATGTTATAAGCAATTGAGTGAAGGAGGTAACATTGATAATAGAGAAATGGAGTTGATTTTCAATGTTATAAGCAATTGAGTGAAGGAGGTAACACTGATAATAGAGAAATGGAGTTGATTTTCAATGTTAAAAGCGATTGAGTGAAGGAGGTAACACTATGACGATAGAGAAATGGAATTGATTTTCAATGTTATAAGCGATTGAGTGAAGGAGGTTATGGTTAATCATATAAACCTCAATGCAACAACCAATTTGATATTATTGGCCCATAACAAAGACAGATATAATTGCAATAAAAATTTCTTTTTAAGCCTTTCATATTCTCACTGCCACTCACACACAATAGTGGCAGCCATATTGTTGTCTGTAACATCACAGTGCCTACTTCAGAAATAGTCACACCATGTGACAGCAACAAAAAATAATTAATTTTCTTTATCATATGATTAAAAATCATAAATTTCCATTGAATTCATGGTTATACCTAATCTATGAAATTTCATGTCCACAAAATAAAAACGTGATAAAAATATACTTCAATTTTAGTACAAGTGGTTTCAGAGAGAAATAAATATCCATAAAATTAAGTGCACAGAAAAAGCATATTTTTGTAAAGCCATGAAATTTGAGCCCCACCAAAATGTATGGTTTTACAGCATCAAATAAGATGGACAGATTTTATTCTGAGCTGGTAACAGATATATTGTTTGGTGTGTTACACATTCAAACTTCATTTGATTAGATTTTATAAAAAAAAAAAAAAAAAAATCCTTGATAAAACTGAATAGGTGTATATAGCTCACTTCTGGATTGTTTCTACAGAAGACTGATATCGTTAAACAGTCATAACAGTGTGTATACTTATGTCATATTCCCTAAATACATTCAAGCACCATATCCAATCGTCTCATGATTTTTATGAGAATTTTTTATTACAGATATTAATCAGGTTGGATCACAGGGCATGTAACAGTAAATTTTAAAATTGAAATTTATATTAGCACATCCTAGCTTAATCTTCATCATTGTGCTATATCAAATTTTGAATTTCAAAATTTATTGTTTCATGCCTTTGTGATTGAACTGCTTATTATCTCAAAAATACATGCCTGTAAATTGGGGAATGGGGTGGGGCGAGGTGTGTGTTGTGATAAACTGGAATTTTCAATTTTTTTTTCTGTATCAGAACCAAATCTTTGAAAAACAATTCTTGACAATAAAACATTTTATTTCTTTTTCATACAAATGAGAGTCGGTAAATAAAGTAAAATCAAGGTCAAATGAATAGTGTTTACAATACACCACTAACTCAACCTTATTGGGTATCAACTAACCAGATGAAACAGTAACAGAAACAAGAATACTGTAACTCCAGTCCTGTTCTAAAATATATCTAAATCATGTACATTGCATATAAATACCTTATTGATTCAGTACATAACATATAATCATTGACCTAGCATGGTACAATAAACCACATGATGTGCCAACAATGTATATAACACCTTTTTATATCTAGGCATGGACTGTCACATGACATCATAATATAAATTTCTACCTTTAACATTGGGATATAGACTGCCCTCCATAAATATCTTGTGTTTTTTGGGAGGAGGGGGGGGGGGGGCAAGACAATGTCAAGATTTATTTGGAGGGCAGTGAATTCCATATCTATTTTACTTTAATCTCAGGTACTATCTCCCACACATAACATATACAATATCACAGAAATTATTTGGCCTGTTTGATACAGAAATGTATTCATAACTTCACAAGTCCTTCACAAGCTGCCAGTGAAAACAGGAAATTTTCTGTAGCAGGATTCATTTTACGAGCTCTCAATGTTTCTAAGGTTATGGATAATTTCCCATCTTCTCCTTCTACAGCCAGACTCTTAAGGTTGTTTAAAAGTTCACTTGTCTTCTTGGCTATTTCCTGTAGAAAAAAAGGAGCTATATTTTTTGTCAAGTCACAAGGAATTTCTCCCAGATAAGTTAAGAGTATCTTGAATTTTCTTTTGATTTAAAAAAGATGTACAAGTATCTTCAATTTTATTACTGATATTGTGAGCTTCAATTTGGCATAAAAACTAATTTTGGGCATTTAAGATTGTACAAAAATGTACAAATATCTACAACTTTATTACTGATATTGTTAGCTTCAATTTGGCATAAAAACTTACTTTGAGCATTTAAATTTGTACAAAAATGTACAAGTATCTACAATTTTATTACTGATATTGTAAGCTTCAATTTGGAATAAAAACTAAATTTAAATTTGTAAAAATTTTACATATATCAAGCTAGACTGATTTACAAATGGCCCTGATAACCTCACATTTGTAGCAATTCTACATATATCAAGCTAGACTGATTTACAAATGGCCATGATAACCTTACATTTGTAGCAATTCTACATATATCAAGCTAGACTGATTTACAAATGGCCCTGATAACCTTACATCTGCACCTTTGCAATTCACCACAAACAAAAATTTTCAGTTAAAGTATATATGATCAAAATCAGAAACTGTAAATATGGATTGTACCAATGAATATTGAGACTTTGAGAATATTGAGAAGTTTTTCATGTGAAACTGTATATATCACAATGCAGTGAAACAATGCTTACAGAAGTTCAGCCCAGTAGGGGAAATGACAAAGATATGATCACAAAGTAAGCAGAGATTTTCTTCAAAATAAGGGAATATGAAAACTACCATTTCCCATACTTTGACTACATTCAGCTTATTCTTATAATTCTTTGATTACTTTATAATTGATTTTGTAGAATCATATTTTTCTTTTAAAATATATTATATAAAGCATGAACTGTTAGCAATTAAGGCCTTGGGGTGAAACGAAATATTGTAATACATATCAAATTGCAAGAATCACGTTATTTGCTTTCCGATTCAATTTTCCACATTTTTCTTTCTTATTTCAATACGATACACAATTAGATATAATCACTCAACATAGATGCTAAAGATATTGCCTGTTTATTGTCATGAATCATTCCATATATTTTCTTTAATCCTCTATAGCTGGCAAAAAGGCTTATATTATAATCCCTCTGCCTTCTTCCATTTCTAAACATTGTAAATTGTTCCTTATTATAACAATAATTTTGGATATACTTAACATTGGCAAATAGCACTGAGAAGTTATGATAATGTTGCTGTCATTGTATCGTATAAAAAGTTGTGATGTGCATCATATCAGAGATAAAATGTATCACTACATCCTTCATAAGTCTCTTGTTTACATAAATCTTCTATTCAGTAAAAAAACATATCCTGCACTGTAGCAATTCTGTCCTTAACCAAGACACTTCACTTCAGTTGCCTTGTATGGCTATGACGGCCCCCTGTACGTTGTTCAGTGAGGCAACCAACAACTACGTGTACTCCCCTCATCAAAATATCCTTGGCTTTTGATGTCAGAGGTGATAAACCCCATAAACAAAACAAACAATAAAACTGAGTGTACCTTAACTATGTCCTCCTCTGATAATTCTTCACTCTCTGCACACTGTACCATGAATGCTGCAGTGTCCTTGTGTAGCTTTCCCATGGCTAATGCTTCTAAAACACATATACAATGCTTGATTTACAGGAGTGAAGTTTACAAAATGGGCAGCAATAAAAAGAATATCAGATCTTGAGATAGGATATGATGAATTACAACCTCAACACACCACAGCTGATTCCTGTATTTATTTGCTACAGAGTGGCAGTTGACTGGTTTTGCATCTTTGGTGATGCTTTGTCAGAACCATCATTTACATTGAAGTAGTTAGTTACAGACAGTTCAGACAGTTCAGAAGTTTAAGAACAGGTGTAACAATTGACACTATAAATAGAACAATGTGGATATCAAAGATGAAATTGAGAGTTTCATGAAATTTGTTGAGTGCCTCGGTAAAGGAGGTGAGGTCTTCTCTAGAATGGGGACAAATGAAAAAAAAAACATCAATACATCACCACCATACCAATGGTTGCTTAGGTAATGTTGCAAGACATACCACCAGTGCTGATATTATTTTATTTTATAAATCCTGAGATACATGAAGTTGTGAGGCAGTCGTCTTACTCTGCCTACCAGTAAGGCCTTGGGGAATCTTCATATCCTTTTTACTTGACAATTAGTCCATGTCTTGTAATAAGCCCAATATTATCTATATTGTTTTATAGAATTACAAAGGGGTGCTAATGGATGCAATATGCCCATCCTGTGACATTGTGTCATAATTTGAATGTTGCCAGTTGACCACTAGTCAAAGGGTTCTGAACATCTATAGTTTACCAAGTAGTGATGATAGGTTAAAAAAATGATTTTCTACTTAATATCAAAGCTTGTAGTTAGCATAGTGTGGAATATCTCCAGGTGATGCCCTCAAACTTTCAGGCATGAAAATCCAACAGAGAAATAATTATCTATATCTTCGAGCTTTGATTTAGAAAAATGATGATTGTTAATATTATAGATTTCATCAGTTAATACCACACTCTGACGGCATGAGTTATTATTTTTCTAAACTAATTAAGAATTTCTATAACAATAAACATATTTTCATCCTATAATCTATCTTTCCATATTTAGAAATTTTTAACTGGAATTTCAAACTCAGTATCTATAATTATCAACCTATAATTTACCTTTCCATAAGCCAATGTCTGGTAATAAGCCTGTGCCCCATATTTATTGGAGTTTCAATGAAAATGCCAACAAATACTTATCCTTGTCCTGTAATAGCTCCCCCACCAACACCCCCCATCCCCCAACAGAAAGACTGAGCCAGCGTCAAAATATCTGGGGGGTTTTCAGGATAACCATCGTAAAACAGCAAAACAGGTTACATGTAGTTGACAATTACCTTTGGCTTGTGTTGCTATAGAGATCTGTCCTGAAGTTGGACTCACATAAACATCATACAAGTCATTCCTTGAAAGAAAAGAAGAGAAAAGATAATTGTCAGTTCAGTAGTATAATTATAAAGTGATTTCAACATTTTCACCAAAATCTGAACATCTTATTAGACACAAAATCAAAGTCCAAAACATACATACACAAAACAAATGCACACAAAACCTGTGCAAATTCTTCTCTTAATATCTATAGATGTATGTAAACACAACATTTACTGGACAATGTTAGAGACAATTAAAGTTTGAGGATCTCTGTTTCTAATTATGATAAGTAAATATAATCAGAATAAACAAAATAGCTACACTACTGACAGAAAAATATTATTTCTAGTAAATTCAGTAACAATTTCCAAATCTAGAATTCCAGATAATTCTATTCATTAATGAAAGATGTATTTACATGTATTCAAATGTTGTCAATTTCTTTTCAAGAATAATAAAATAAAGAAATCAAAGTAATTATTATCATTTTTACAGGATATCAACAAAACACTTTGTATTTTACCAAAATACTGAAAAATATTTCTAGTACATCTGGATACAAATAATATATCATGTGAAGCCAAATGTGGTTAATGCCCAAACGTTGTTGGTTTGGGTGTTATAAACATTATATTCAATTGAGATAAAGAAGCTACTTACTTGGATTGACAACCAAATTTACATGGTAAGTGCATGATAAGCTGTCTATGCATCCTCTTTTGGAACACCTGGTTTTATTATTGAAGCCTTTTCAAGAGTCTCTGTGTCAACTATCATCTGTTCCTATTTTGCCCATATCTCATCAATTTTGAGTTTAAAATGAAAGTTCTTAATGTGTTGCTTTCAGCCCTGTTACTTGTAGTATGTAAGAAAGACAATACCCACCTTCCTTCTAGTGATGCGTCGGTAAAACCTGCTACGTATGAGTTAGCTCCCTTCAAATAGTCAACCTCCTGTTGATTCATTTCTATGAATGGAAAAGCTATATTCCAGTTCTGCCGATGCCAAACTAATGCAGGCAGTGATCTATAAAACAAAATCCATATAATAACTTTATAAAAAGTATGAAATGTTATAATTCATAAAAGCATTGATTAAAGAATATGCTTTCAGTACACAACTGCTGCTTTACTTTGCACACGTTGGTTTAGTTTTAGTGGTCCTGTCTTCTTCTTGGCCTCTGAATTACTTACCATCTAACCTTAATGATGTAGACAGATGAAACACTGGATAATGTAAACCAATTGAAAGAGTTATACCAAAATTTTAAGCCTGTCAAAATTTAATATCATTTAATAACCAAAGGTAAAAATTGGATCTATGAATCCAATTATGTCAATCTATGTTGACTGGACAAGTACTTCCTTCGTGTAATACATGTTGTTTATGTTGATGTAACATATGATGCCTATGTTAATGTGACACATGCTGTTTACATTGATGTGACATATGATGTTTCTGTTGATGTGACATGTGTTGTTTATGTTGATGTGACACATATTGTTTCTGTTGATGTAAAACATGTTGTTTATGTTGATGTGACACATGCTGTTTCTGTTGATGTGACATATGATGTTTCTGTTGTTGTGACATGTGTTGTTTATGTTGATGTGACACAAGTTGTTTCTGTTGATGTGACACAAGTTGTTTATGTTGTTGTGACATGTGTTGTTTATGTTGATGTGACACATGTTGTTTCTGTTGATGTGACATGTGATGTTTCTGTTGATGTGACATGTGTTGTTTCTGTTGATGTGACATGTGTTGTTTCTGTTGATGTGACATGTGTTCTTTATATTGATGTGACATATGATGTTTATGTTGATGTGACACATGCTGTTTCTGTTGATGTGACATATGATGTTTTGTATTACCTTACAAACATCAACAGTTGATGTATTTGGTCTGGAGGGTAGTAAACTGCTATTCTTTTCTTTAGCATCAAAGCTGTGTAGATAATGACTGTAGACATCCCAAATGTCTCTATGATACCTGCAAATATTGTAAACAATAAAACATATCAAACTTGTGTCGTCATACTTTGTCAAAATAACATACAAATGTGTCTTCCAACATAGATGGCCAATCATGGTCAATATTTGGAGAAAATCTTAGAAAACTTGAAACAATATGATCTGAAGGTCAATACTTATTGTTTGAGCAGTAGTCATTAAATGTCAATTCACACTGACTCCAATTAATAAGTTATAACAAATACTTTATGAAAAATCTTTACTCATCACATATACATAGACATAAAATTGAATCCTGGTGCTACTGATCTTTACTCATCACATATACATAGACATAAAATTGAATCCTGGTGCTACTGATCTAAAGAGTAAAATTCACCAAACTACGCAGCAATAAGTACATATCTGGTTATAAGCTCACCTATAGTGATTGTCTTTTTAATTGGAAATACAAACAAATACTTATTCCTAAAATGCACAGCCTAAATATGGTACAAATATGTATATTGTCGTATTGTGGGGTCAATAAAGTAATTTTCTAAATAATACCTTTAGTAGCTTTTTGCTGCAGACAAGTATGATAATAATCTACAAACTGGCTTACTGGGAGGCAATTAATGTAAATATCTACAAATGGACATGTCACCGGGCATTTTCTATAATTATCTACATAAAGTGGTACTTATGTGTTGTGATACTATCAGGACCATTTACAACTCAATAAAGTATTGTTACAATGTTAACTGTGTCAGACTGGGGAGTACAATTTCATAAGAACATATGTAGATCCTCATGTCCAATTTTCATGTAGATCTTAAAAGAGGATGGCCTACCTCTTAATTCTGACTTTAAGTATGCTTTTTTGTTGTCATATTCTTTTGCAGAGAAGCGTCCATTTTCATCTGTAGAACAGGAGCCTCTCGTAAATACACTTAAGTAACTCTCCAACATGGAGGCAGGATTCCCTGAACTCTGGTACTTATTGGATAGTATCTTACAAAGTTCTTCATACTTCTCTGGGTTAAAATCTTTGGCAACAAGAACTAAAGAAAAATGTGTAACCTGTAAAAGAAATCATAGGAAACGTATTATTTATTTGTATGATAATAAATATACAAAGTCTCTGCAGTTTTTGTCCATATTTTGAAATCACTATAAATTTCTGATATATATACCAGGGTATGTAGATATATCACAAGGGCAAATTCATGAAATAACAGGTCAATTATGTGATTTAATTTACATTGTCTTCTGTGTTTCATATTCTAGCTACAGTTGTAGCATGGTATTGTGAAGCATGGTGAGATGACCTAGGGCCAAAATACAATAATAGTAAAGTGAAACTACTTTATCTTTCGTTTTCAATTGATTATTCTTCATTTAATTTTTATCAGATGAATTTATTTTGTTGCTTCACTAATGACAAAAATACAATTATAATAAGGAAAGGGAAATTTAGGGTAAAGCAGAGGATCTCACTTTATCATTATGGTAAAATGAAGCATTTCACTATTTTTTACTACTGTAAATATTCGCGTATAGTGCGCACTCGCGTATAGTGCGCAGGTACTTTTTGGAGATCAGATTTTAAAAAAAAATCTACAAAAAAATTAATTGACTGGTCACTGCGACGAAACATTTGATGTGGTCTGATCCATTGATAATTAGGAAACCACAATGAGCGTGACCCTAACACATGTAATTACCTTAAGTAAACAAATTTACCCAGGTGACCTAACAAGCATGAAAGGCTTGGCTGATTGTATAATTAACGGTTAATGACAGTTAATGAAGGGAGGTAATCCAATATGGCGGATGCAGAACTCGGGAATGATAACCCCAGGAATGGCATGTACCTGCGTATACTGCACACCCCCTTTTTGACACGACAGTTTCAGCTTAAAAAAGTGTGCACTATACGCGAATATTTACGGTAATTAACTCTTTCACCAAATCTCTTTCATATCGCCTCGATTCAACCTTTCAAATACATAAACAACAAACAAAGTCTGGTGCTATGAAATATTGGGTAGGGCAGGAGGCTTCACCATAATGGTAAAAGGAACAGTGGTTCACTTTACCATGGACTTCACTTTACCATAGTTTTGGTTCACTCTGTAGTATTTGACATACCCTATATAGGTATTATTTCATACATGTATACTAGTACATGTACACATATATTGCATGGTATATTTATGTACATTGTAGGTTGGCATATGTAGTATGTAAAGGTGCTAAATCTTAAATGATATGTACAATGTAACTGGTATTACTAGGAGGTTTGACACTTCTAAACCTTAATAAGATTATGGTACATGGGTATTATTTGAAGGGTGTAAAACCTCAGAAACATAGAAAGCCTTTTGTTAATAGGTAATATTAGAGGTGAAAAGCTCTCAACCTTGGGAAGATTACTGGTGTCTGTCACTGCTTTACTGTACATGTAATACCAGTCTCCCTTCCATTGGCTATACAGGAAAGGTATTACGATACTCCCTGTCTGGAGCTGTGATTTCTCCATGAAGAATTTCCTGTCCTCTGCCACGACCGATGGATAGGACCAGGTCCATAATACATCTCCATTGGTGTCCCTTTCTACAACAAAAACAGGCAAATCAACTTCATAGCAACCCATTCTGACTTCACCTGTCTTTGTTCACAACTTCATCCTTGAATAATTTTTGTGATTTAATTATAGGGAAAGTAATATTCATGCATTATGCTATAACATATTCTTCAACACCACAGATTTTATCATAACATGCTGTTAAATCCCAGGTCTTGTTTGTGAGTTAATTTTGAGAAGTATCATGATGCCAGCCAATTATAACAACCAATGCACATATGCATCTCTTGTTTTACCTATAATAGTCAAGGAATACCAAACTAAAGCATTAAATACAGGGGTTGGCTTACAGCTTTTTTTGTTTTGTTTTTGTTTGCTTGGTTTTTTTCTGTTGTATGACCAAAAACAGGCTGTTTCCTCTAGCCAAAGTGTTAATTATTTTCCCAAAATGAAGAAAAAATCAGGCATATCTTCTTCTGTACATACCATTCTTATGTCCTTGTGGATTAACTGCTTGAATTACATGCGAAATGATTTGTGTACTTACATGTAGCTGTCGCTTGGTTGTACATTAGATTGCACACCACGATCAGACACGTATTCATCTGATCCCCTCCTATCATCCTTAAAAATGCCATATCAACATATCCGAATCGTGAAAATATTGAAAAGGCCTATGTTAGAGTTCCTATGTTATCAAAAATATGAAGTGAAACTAGAAAAGGGGCGTATACGTATTGTCGATAAGTAGGACCGAACCAGTTTCTGTACGTGGGCCTTGTTTTTGTCTAAATATTACATGCATGTATACGAATTCAATCCTATAACATAACGGACATTCATTTATACACGTAAGCATAAGTATAGGGCACAATTTGCCGTATTAAGAGGTATGAATTATTACCAATCAAGCCGGCAGATTTTCCGGATATGAATCCCGTAATGGCTGACATTTTGAATATTACCCAGCATGCCATAACCCGCAGTTTTTTTTATATGTAATTTTTCCTTAGCTGAGAAATTATGAGAAATATTTATGATTTTTAATTTATGATTCTGTATATTATTTTAGGTAATATATCTTGTTCTTATGTATCATGGAGAGTAAAAAATTAATGTGACGTCATTGCATTCATTTCCCACATGGTCGAGGTGGCTGCCGCCATATTGCCAACCCATTCATAAGATTTCCTGACAAAAAAAAGTATTCTAGGGCATAGTCATGTCTTTAGTTTAAGGAAGTGGATAAGCAGATAAACCATCAAGATGCCTACCTACTTTCAGCGACCAGAGAATGCTCTTAAACGAGCAAATGGTAAATGAATTAACCCTGTGGGCTGTTCTAGTCCGATCCGAAAAGTCTGTCGCAGTAATGAGTGCCGGTTCTGAGAATTAGTGCTACATCTTTTAATGTAGAAAATACTTGCTATGTTGCTTAATTGGTGATGATAAGTCAAAATATGTGTTTCCTGTCGCTTTACTTCGCTTTTAAAACGGCGAAGAGAAATTAATTTGGTGACTTTCCCACTTCCATCTGTTACATGGACAGGTTGGGCATTAGGGGATAGTTACTGCTTTGAGTAATCAGTTTCCCATACGCAGGATCATTTGAAAAAAAGGACGCACGCAAGTTCTGTAAAACATTTGCAACAAAAAAGAGGCGTCATATTTTGATGTGACCCAATAACCAATACAACATTGTGATTTTTACACAAAAGGTTGTTTTGCTCTTGTAAAAATCAAAACTATAAACTCTATTGATTATCAACTGCTTATAGTGTAACTAAAATAGAATACGTGTAAAATCATGCTCACCTATGACATAACTATCCCTCAAATGCAGGACTATTTCCCATATCAGGGGTTATATCAAACCTATTTGATGAGATAATGCTGATGCATGCACATTCTTGTCGAATTGTGTATGGTTTACCAGTTCACATCATTGATGCAGAGTTGGTGTTGGTAATATTAAATAAAATGGCAAGACACGTTTCTTAAAGGTCTTTAGTACATCCTATAAAAAGCACTATTTCTTTGAGTCCATAATATTTTGATATTGTTACCTCTTGGTTATTAAAACAACTTTTCTTTGAAACAGTTTTCAGTTTGAAACATTTTTGATGGTCTTTGAACATCCTGAAAAAGCATCAATTTTGAAAGCAAATCATCACTGGCATGAAGACAGGTGCAAAATAAAATTGCATCAATTTCCCAAAATAAAAAGTTTTATATATATGGTGGCTTGGTCCTGAAATACCTACTCAGTCTTGTTAAATTGAGACAGTCTTGACTTTCAAAGGGTGTTCCCAACCAGTTTCCCAACAAATTACATCAGAGATAAATAGTCTGTTGAAATAAGGAATACAAGCTTCAGATTGATTTGGCCTATTAACAAATGTGTATAATTCACATTTGTACTAGGAAATACATATCCTCAAAAAATTTTTCAGAATTCATTGATGTTGGAAAGAAGCAAAGAGCTTTGGATGCTTTGTACGATGTCATCAAGAGCAAAAAGCATCGAACATGGCAGAAGATTCACGAGCCTATCATGGAAAAGTACCTCCAGCTCTGTGTGGAACTCCGCAAGAGTCACATTGCCAAAGAAGGACTTTATCAGTACAAAAACATATGCCAACAGGTAGAAACAACTTGTATGACAAATAATTGAGATCAGTTTCATTATTTCAAAACTTTTAGTCAATTTCAACCTCCTCACCAATAGAGGGTTACTAGGGTCGAAATTCAACTTATAAAAGGGCTTGATCAGGAGAGAAAGGATGAGGTCAAATATTAATTGAGTTAGATGACAAGAATTGAAGTAAATTTGGTCATGGGCTTCAGTGAACAGCCAGTAGTTTGGAAGGAGTGATGCAGAACAAATGAAAGCTCTGGCACCACTGGGGAGTGAAGGGGCATAGCTAGTTTGACATTGCTAATGTTAACATTTGGTCAAGATAAGGTTAAGGCTTTATAATGTATACAAATATATATATATATATACAGGAGGAAAGTTCTGTATGTATGATGATATTATCATTTTAAAGGTGAACATCAAATCTCTAGAAGATGTGGTGAGGAAATACATTCGTCTAGCAGAGTCCAAGACTGAGGGAGCTCGTCAAGAATCCCATCAAGCTGTTGTGGACATTGACGATCTAGATATTCCAGACACACCTGAGAGGTATGAGTCATAGAAATTCTGATCTTAAAAGTTGTATAAAATTAACTAGCTTCTTGGTTACTTAAAAAGTTATTTTCATAATTTATACTTTTCCATTTTACAACTCAACCTTTGGAAAAAATTACACAGGAAGAGTAAAGAATTGTTAATATATGCTACAAGGGAAATTGGATTGATTTGAAGAAATGAAAATGGATAAATGTATTGCTATGAAAGAGGAAAGATAAAGTAGGAAACAAAGATTATTTTCACAGCTGTCTTTCCCAAAGAAAAAGTAATCTCTGTTGCCTTTTTAAATTCAAGCTTTTGTAACATAATTGCCTGTATGAATGTAAAAAAACTTCAATTATCAGTTACGCTGGCATCAATCAAGTTAAACTCTAATCTATATGAAACAAGATACCACTGTGTCGGTTGTTTTCTCTCCTTATTGTGCAAAGGTTACATATTTCAGCCTTCTGTTGAAAGCCGTAAGCGGTGAAGACACCCAAGACCGAACAGATCGAGCCATCCTAACACCATGGGTCAAGTTTCTGTGGGAATCATACAGACAGTGTCTTGACCTGCTAAGGAACAATTCCCGAGTGGAACGACTCTATCAGGACATAGCACAGCAAGGTAGAAATTGCATAAAAGGCATAAGAACGGGGGGGGGGGGGTGTGAATTACGTTTCCAGTAAATTTGTTGAGGGAAATTTAGAGTAAATAGGTAGGTAGGTAGGCAGAAAACATTGTTTAACAAATAATTTTATAATATTTTTTAAAGAAGCATCACTTAATAGTGCTTCTTTGAAAATGATCTTTAAAAGTTTTGGGAAGGCACAAGATATAAGGGTAAGTAATGTCACCAGAAACAGGAAATATATCTTTTTTGGCCTTAATTTGATTCTGTAATGATGATGGCCACTTTCTGATGATTAAAAACCTCAGTCATGATTTTTGATGTAAGTGTTGTTTCTTTGAAAAACACATTTCTGAATTTTATTTCTTTCACTATAACTCTCATTTGTATGTTTTGGCTAACATAAGGATAACTGTAACCTGCATTGTAAAGACTCTTCTAACTCTTAAGTTTTTACATGTTATATATTTGTTTACAACAAATTTGCTTGTTTTCTGCAGCATTTAAGTTTTGTTTGGAGTACACTAGGAAGACTGAATTCAGGAAGTTATGTGATAATGTAAGTATGAGACGAATTTAGCTCCATTTATTAGCAATTGTTTCTTATTCTCCTAGTAATAGAATTCCTTAGCTTATTTTAACAATTTTCTGGTTGTTCAAAATTTGTTATGATAACCTATTCAGCATGCATCATTGAATTATGACCAAGTAAATGAAAAACTACATCAACTGCACAAGAAGGTGATAATACAACCAAATTACCTTTTTAATTTCTTTCACAAATAGCTGAGAACCCATCTTGGGCACATCCACAAGCACCAGAACCAGCAAACGGCAATTAATCTGAACAACCCAGACTCCCAAGCTATGCACCTTGAGACGAGGCTGGTCCAGCTTGATAGTGCCATTAACATGGAACTGTGGCAGGTAAGGTTGCTTGGCATCTTGTACATTTGAAGTAACTATAATGGTATGTCTTTAGTTTATTCTACTTGCACTGGAGAGTCAAGGATTGGAAAAAGTTCAGGAATTTGGGAAGGTAAGAAACCCCAATAAACTTTTTCCCATCAACAAACAACAAAAAATAACAATTCCTAAAAAAGAAAGAGGAAGGGGTCTTTCCTGGATCTGTCGCTGCCATGCATGGCATGCACTGTGATGAGGTGATGATGATGGATATTGTAGAGTCTTGTCATAATTTAAAGTAATTGAAAGAAAAAATGTCATTTCATATTTGCTGTATTATGTAATCAAACCTTATGTTATCAAAACTTTGGTGAATGGTCTTTCAATCTTGCTATCTTTGATAACAGATTAGTAAGGTAAATGCAATTATCGAGTATGGGACCAAATCCCATTATTACTGGTCTTTATTGTTTGTTCATAGGAAGCATTTAAGGCAGTAGAGGACATTCACGGCCTGATCTGTCTGTCTAAGAAACCGCCAAAGCCATCACTCATGGCCAACTACTATCAGAAGCTGGGTTTGGTTTTCTGGAAGTCGGGGAATGCTCTCTTTCACGCGAGTACACTTCACAGACTGTTCCATTTGTCCAGGGAGCAGCGCAAAAATCTCTCTCAGGATGAACTACAGAAGTAAGATTCCCATTTCTAGGTCCACCCTTAGATTGTGTTAATCTTTAGAAAAATAAAATATTCTTCTTTTGAACAGTTGGGAGAGGGGAGGGGGAAATTGATAAATAAATAGAGCCCTTCTCATCATTTTCTTGTCCCCATCATTTCATGGGAGGATATAGTATTACTGATGTTCTTCACTCCAGTCTCAATCCATTGCATCCTGTTGGTTATGTTTCATGTTACATGATGTAGTATCATAATATCATGTTCTACACCTTGTATTATGGTGGTCGTTCATTAAGGTAGAAGGGTTAAACGGTCCTATTCAAAGGTCACATTTGAAACATTCTGCAAATTCATCAATGATTCTCATATATATGGAAGCAAGGGCATCCATGTCATGCACATTTTCTAGTTTGGAAATAAAGGTCCCAAGAAAAAAGGGGATTGGTTAAGACCTTATATATTTCAAGTGTCTTTAGTTACCTTAATATTTAGCACCTTTATAATTTGATCTCGCATTCTGTGTATGAATTTTGTCTATAATCACCATACATTAACTTCTCTTATACAGAATGGCATCCAAAGTATTGTGTGCCACGCTTGCTGTTCCCATCCCGCCATCCAGGAACGCCATTGACCAGCTCCTGGAGACAAATGAGAGTACTATGGAAAAGCAGCGTCGCCTAGCAACCCTGTTGATGTTGAACAGTCCACCAACACGACAAGGCCTCATTAAAGATCTGGTATGTTATCCTGAAGAGAGTGAATCTGTTGTAGAATAGTTTAACTGCTATCTGGTTCACATTATCCTACAAGTTTGTCTTCAAAGATAACTTACAGCTGAAAAGCTTATTGTAAAAAAAAAGGATGAGGCTAATGCCAATTTAATTGCCTTTTATGTTACTGTAAAATCATTCGTGGATTTTACAGCGTCAAAGGGGGCAGAAAGGAATACAGCTGATGGTTTACATGTGGATATGTTTTAGAAACATTCACAACAAACTGTTGGCTAACAAATTCAAATTTTTCTAATTCAAATAAATGGTTTTAAATAACTTTGTAATATATGGTTTGTTTGTTTGTTTTTTCACAGGAATGATATTTTTTGCTATTTTGTGAGATCATGAAAATCTTATTCTTGAAATAGAAGTTTGCAAGTTATATCGGCAATATTGAAACAGGGTTTTCTATAATTTTGTTAGTAGTAGGCTGTGTAGTGAAAGTAGGAGGCCGGCCTGCCGTGTATGTGTAGTCGTGTACGGAACTTAATGACGGAACTGGATTGGTGTAGGCGGCCAAATGATCAAAGTAGCTGGTCAAATTGGCCGGTGACCGGCTTTTATGGAAAACCCTGTGAAAATCTAAAACTGTAACTTGAGATTGTTGATGTCGGCCGCTAATTGTCAAAGGATATAGTGAAACAGAATAATTGCATTAATAAACATAAATCAGTATTTATTACAACAGAAGTAATTATAAACTGTTAAATCAGAAATCATGACTTTGAAACTTGACATCAGGAACAATATTTACAAAAATAGGTATCCATAATGCAAAATTTTAATGTGTTGATATTTCATTTTCTCATTTTCTATGAAAATCTCAAAAAATTGTCCCGCAAAAATAAATGACTACAAAAGTTTCACTGCAGTGCTTGTTACATCAAGTTATGCTTACCCAGAGTTATGGTTAAGATAGAGCCCAGTCCACTTGTGTATATAACTGGTACCTGTACTGTATTACAGAAATTTTAACTGTTAATGGTTTAGAAGTGATTTATCAAAACTCTAAACATTCTTTTGTTGGCATAGATGTGTGTGTGTGGTCCATGTTTGAGTTTGCCTTTAATGTTACTGCAGATTTACTTGTTGATTTTGCAGCGTCAAAGGGGGCAGAAAGAAAATGCAAGTAGTTTATGTGTGAATAGCCACTGTGACATTCACAAATAACTGCTGGCTTACAGATCAATACATTTATAAGAAAAAACTTCATGTGTTTTACAAAGTTTTTCTGAAACGATATATATAGATTTACTATAAAAAAAGTTTTGTTATAAGATCCATTGCTATAGATATACAATTTAAGCTAAACTTGATCTTTAGCTAAATCACATATTGAATACCTCAATTACGGTAAGTTGGGTTTTTTGTCTGTGTAGATGGGTGTTCCTATGTGTGCATGTACTTTTGGAACAGAAGCTGAAGTTTTGAGAAATGACTACAAAGCATTTCTGGCTTGTACTGTTCAATTCAAAATAGTTTCTAGTCATAATGAACCAAGTATTGTTAGATATCACAGGAGTTTTCTTCTCCCTTCTTGGTATGAGTGGTATTCTTTTGGTAAAAAACTGTATTTGAGTGACTTTTGAGATTTGAAGAATTTACAAAATTATGTTTTACAATGAGCTATGAAACATACCAATGGTGCTAACATATATCTAGCATTTAAAATCCACTTAGAAATGTGGTATTTTTTCTTTGAGAGAAGGAGACATAGGCTTTAGTTTGATCTGCATTTTGCTTAATAATTACAATATTAACAGGGTAGGCCAAGTGATACATAATTATACATGATTCTTTTATTCAGGTCAAGTATAACATCATTCAGTATGTGAACCCAGAGCTTCAAAACCTATACAATTGGCTGGAGGTTGACTTCCATCCGTTGTGTCTGTATGACAAAGTAAAGGCTCCTGTGGAGTTCATCGCTGGTGTTGACGATCTGAATCAGTACATGAACTGTCTGGAGAATATTATTATCACAAGGGTCTTGAAACAGGTATGCAGTTTTCAAACATTAAACAGTTTTATTTCTTGATAACTATGGCTGTGTCTTCATAAATTTTCAACAAAGATTTGCTCAATTATATAGGGCTAAATGTGCCATGAGTATTACTGAAGTAAATGGCATTCTGTCAGAGTCAGTATTCATATAAGTGTATAGAATTATGGCAAGAAGAAAATATTTTGACATCCATATATTTTTCTTTTCTGTGGCTTCATTTTTACACATTTGATATACTTTGATTTGTGATACAAATATTCTGTCATACTAATGAAAATTCCAAGGGAAAGCATTACATCTCTTCCATATTTATCATACCATAGGCACCAGGGTCCAACACAATCTCTGACTCGCAGCACTTCATTACAGGGCAAGGTCATTGCATGTGTTAGCATTTCTGCTATAACGATACATGTGGATGGACATGGTTTATTTATATATACACAGTATATGGTAGAAAATCCCCCTTCAAAGTTCCATGAAAAAAAATCTTGCATCAAAATTCACTCTTGACTCTCGTCATAATTTGTATATATATCAAAGAAGACTCCTTTCACTGATTTGTCATGGGTATTTTTTCCTCATTTTTGAAAGAAAATTGGTTTACGGAATTTGGTCCAAGTGTGATATTATTCCAATTGGGAATAGGACCCAGTATCGGCTCAGAAAAAAAGCCCTATCAAGCCACACCAATTAATTTTCCTTTTTATTTATTCAGGTGTCGCAGGTGTACCAGACTATCGAGTTTTCTAGAATAGCTGCTCTTGTTCCGTTTGCATCAAGTTTCCGTCTGGAGAGAGTGATTGTGGAATCTGCAAGAACCCTTGATCTTCAGGTAAATTTCTTGAAACACTCTCTAATATTGATGTGTACTTTATTTGTAAAAAGAAAATCACATGGTTAAATTATAGGCTTGGTATGTTACTCTTAAAGATGTGTCATTTAGTAGTACTTTATTCTCTTGTAGGTGAGAATTGATCATCGAAAGGCCTGTCTGAGTTTTGGTACTGATCTTATGGTAGCTCAGAAAGAAGATGTGCCTGAAGGCCCTTACATTCAGAGTATGCCGAGTGAACAGATCCGTAACCAGCTGACCAGCATTGCTGAAGCACTACACAAATCTGTCATCCTCATTGAGCCAAAGGAACGCAAGGTAGGAACCAATATGTGACAAATACAAAGTAGTCACTTTGTAGACACTACTCAAGTAACCAAATGATTCAGAATTGTTATACACTGAATGTATATTAAAAACAAGTTTTATATAAAAGCTATTTCAATAAGCCATGCAAGGAATTGAATGCTTAATGTATCAAATGACAGTTTTTCCACCTAATTATATTCAGAAATCAGTTTCACTAGAGAAATCATTGATAGCATCACTTTCTTTTTCAATAGAGATGCTGTTATTATTGTTGTAAGGAGGTTAATGTGGTGAAGATTTTTAATGTTTCCATGGCAACTTGTAGGTCCAGAGAGAGGAGCTGCGCATGCAGATCATTAACAACTACAGGATGACATACAAGAAAGATCACAGCCGAATTCTCCAGCGTAGACAGATCATTGAGAGCCGTAAGGAGGAGCTGGAACACATGAATGACCAGAGGGTTGGTTTTAGTACTTCCCAAGCCCATGGCTTAAAATAACTTTTGTATGGTTTCCCTAACACCTAAATATCCCAGGGAAAATCAAATTTTCAATTTTCACTTCTGGTATATCCACATCTTCACATTTAAAAAGCAGGAGATTAAAAGCAAATTGGAAAAGATGCTATCTTTATAGTATGCAATGTACAAGCTTGCTTCAAGTTGGTGTAGTAATTAACACATTTTCCCATTAATACCAAAGGAGATTGGTAATAGACTGTCCGTTTTAACAGCATTTCACAATACTTAGTGATGAATCACAATATCCAGATCCCATGATCAAAGATGGTTTCAATAGCTACTGATTAACTGGGATGTTTAGAGCTATCAATTCCATTCTGATTTCATAGTTTATTAATACTTGATGGTAAATATTTCATAAAAATTGTTTTTAGGAGCGAGAAGAATTGGAACAGGCAGAAGAAATAAGAAAGAAAGCTTATGATGCAGAGATGGCTCGCTTGGACCGAGAGGCAAAAGAGCGTGAACGGCAGAGACGTGTAGAAGAACACAAAGAGATTCAAAAGAAGCATGCCATGGAGAAAATTGAACAGCTGAAAAAAACCGAGATTGGCTCCAAGGTTCTACAAAATCTGGATGAAGAGGTAGTTATTGGGAAATGCTCTATTCTACTGAATCAAATCATACCTGTAATTAGAAGAAAACAATGCCCTGTAAAGTTAAATATTTCTAGGTAAAACAGGTTCTTGCAAAATTTTTATTTTCTTTTAAAAGGACTGAATGCAGAGGTAGTTACAGGTTGTTAAAATGTTCTACCGATAATAGACATGGAGCATATTGGTAGCTTGATATCAGAAATTGTACAAAACTGAACTCCCAATTACAGAATTAGAATGATGGCTATTTAATTAAAAACAGTACCAGACTCCAGGACTCAATAATAAATCACTTCTGTCCATGGCAGGATATCCTCACTTATTCCGTGTGAATTATAAATTAAATTCCATGGGTGGTATCTAATAACAAAACCTGTAGTCCTGGAGTTGGCAAGATGCGTTACTGAGATAGTCTTAAATGTTGAAAGGGTATCTTACAATTTCTTCAGAGTCAAAAAGAAGAATGTGTTTTCGGGGCATGATAGCATTGTAATTCCTCAATGAAAGAACCAGATCATGGGTTTGGGTACATTTCGCGCTCAATTTGGTAATTTTATTTCTTAAGGACTTTGAGAAACTTGATGTTGACGAGATCATGCAAAAACAACTTGAGCAGCTGGAGAAAGAAAAGAAAGAATTACAGGAACGTTTGAAAAGCCAAGAAAAAAAGGTGAGAATCTAGACTAGTTTGATAACACATCTGATGATTATTGTGATGCCTTAAACAAAGTCAAGTTAATTGGAACTATCAATTTAGAAAGAGCTGCTTTCATGCAGGAACTTGGATAGAAGTGTTCTGGTTTGATGGTTATGTTGTGAAAGAATCAATTTTAAATAAACTATATAGCGTGATTATTGATATGAGCGAAATATTTATGATATATATAAAGATGTTGTGCTGCCATTAAATTTTAACTCACTAACTTTATTTTTCAGATTGACCACTTTGCTCGTGCCAAACGTCTTGAAGAAATACCCCTGCTTGTTGACCAGTACGATAAAGAAAGCTCAGAAGCCAGATCATTTTGGGAGCATATGGAAGAAGAAAGGGTACATTTCACCCACAAATCCACAGTAGTATTAGAATAAACATAAATCTGTTGAATCAATGATTTTGTTAGTAGATTAAGAGTAGGTTGTTGGGCAACCGTCTCATTACTGATAAATATTTTGTTATGGAAGGGTAGGACTGTATGGAACAAAACAAGTAATTGCTTGAATGCAGTATATACCAGCTACATACTATTAATAAACCTGACATCTGAAAGTTTTTACTGACGTTTTTGACATTTCTTTTAGCGGTAACCATGTACATCAGGTTTTGATTTGATTGTCATAAATTGGAATTATTTTCAGATTGAGAGGATGAAGGCTGAGAGGAAAATGGCTCTAGAGACTCGGGTTCGTCTCAGTCGCATGGTTAAAGACAAAGATGATTTCCTTAACAGACTCAAGGACCAGAGGAAGGAAGAGTTCAAGGTACAATCTAGACAATGTATTACATGACAAATGAACAGTTTAGCAGGTAATCTTTTAAATTAACTCAACATTTTGGAGGAGAGAGAGACAGCTCAGCTGGTGGAGTGTAGAACATGTCAACTTCAAGTGAAGGTCCAATGTCTGTTGTTCAGTTGCTACCTGATAAGGAATTTTTATTTCTCTGGGAAACTGAGATCATAAATTGTTCTGTACTATATGAGTTCTTCTGATGACATCTCATAACTATGGTTTATAATTATTGTGATTTCACATACTTTTTGTATGAGGATTAAGCAAATTTGGATAAGTTAACAAGGTAACCACTCCAGCACACATAAAGACCTTCTCTGAACTAAATATATATACAGGATGTACTCCCTCACAAAATCTTGAACTGAATTTTTTACTTTTCAGAAAAAGTTGCAAGAATTTGATGAGAAAATAAAGGAGGAACGCAAGAGACGTATCAAAGAGAGAAAAGAGAAGAGGAAAGAAGAGAGGAAAAATAAATGGAGAGCAGAAAAAGAAGAGGCTGAACAGAAAGCCAGAGATGAGGCTCTAATTAGAGGTAGGTATTGGCAGAGCTGTACACAATGTTTACATCTCACCTCTAACTAATGAAACCACACAGCCCTCAGAAGGTTTAACAGTTATTGAAATCAATGCTACGGTAATACACCTGTCTCTGCCATTTAATAGACTGTTGAGTGTCAACAATACTAGTTTGTTTTGGTCATTTAAGTATTTACAAAACCAAAATTCACATGACTTGTTTATTATTGCTATGAATTGTGAGAATATTAATCAAATTTACTGCATAGGTATAGTGCGATATATATTTCCACAGGGATAAAGTTTGTAGCTTTCATGAATAAATAGTGTAACAATGGATGCTGCTTGAGCATTATGTTTAATTGTCCTGAATATAGAGTTATGATCCTTCAATTCAAAATTTTATCAACTTATTATTATTCGATGTCAAGCTTGATATGTTGATATAAGTTTTTCTTGCTAGTGATAACTGTCTATCATGATGCGTGTTTATAATGGTAAGCTCTGGTTTTGTTGGTAACAGAGCGAGAGGAGAAGGAGCAAGAGGAGTTGGAGAAGATGGAGGAAGAACGACGCGAGTACGAGTTGAGGCTCGCTAAGTTGGAAGAAATGGAGAACAGACGCAAGGCCAGGGAACGAGAGATTGAAGAGAAGGAGGCAAGGAGACGCGAAGAGGAAAGAGCAACTCAAAGGTAAAGAAAAAGAGACACATGTGTCCATCTGCTGTGCATTAGAGGTGGTTACAGAAGTGGGTACAATAGAGTATATGTATACACACTGCAGACTTTACTCTAAAATGGTATAAAACAAAAAATATTCTATATGCTTTACTTGAATATAAACAACATTACGTGTCATCTGCTGAATGGATGTAATGCATTGTTATTTAAATTATTGTGACCTTTAGCTTAAGATTAGTTGGGGAAATTAAGAATGAACTGGTTGGTGCTGTTTACAAAATATTGGGAATTAGCCAGGTACATATTGATGATATCAGAGAGATAAGAATGAGCCAGGTACTTATGCATGATATTGGAGAGATGGGAAGTAGCCAGGTATTTATTTTATTGGTGGGAAGGTGTGTGACATGAAGTGTAACCAATTTTCAGTTAACAAGGGGCATGAGGTCAAAAACTTTCAAAGGAAAAAAATTTGGCAATTTAATTAGTAATTAGGGAAGAGGACACCAAATGTTACCCCATGTCTGTCTGTTGTGTTCCATCACATCCTATTCCATATCAGTGTTGTGTCTTTAGAACCTCTCCACAGATTTGATTCATATTTACTCTATAGTATCATGACATCATGTTCTACACCTAATCTTATTCTGGTTTGCATTGGAGTAAGGACAATAATGACTTTTTAACTTTATTATGTATTATGGTAATTTCTCACAGTTCCTGTAAACATATTGTCCTTATTTTCAGCAGTTACAGGGATGAGAGACCTGGTGATCGTCCTTCATGGAGGCCAGAGGGAGCACGTGAAGGAGGGGGATGGCGTGAGAGGGAGAAACAGAGAACAGAAAGCTGGAAAAAAGAATCTAGTCCTGTTAAGCAGTAAGTGAAGGTCAATCAAATTGTGTAGAGGGTAGATGAGATCTGTTTCTTTGTGTGATTAGCACCATGATCATTATGCTGGGAGGGGTTAAGATGCTTTTAATGTGAAGTGTGAGTAATTAACACAAGTACCTATTGTATGAATCCATGATAATTACAGTTTGTTTTAATACCTACAATATATAGATAATTTGCCCTTTATCGTTACCACTACTGTTTGATGTCTGAAACTGTGGTGTTACATGGGGCGTACATAGATAGCTGAGAATGTCTACTTGCTTATTCTAGTTCATAGTTTAGAGCAAATGTATATCAGCTTACAAAAGTATCTTTTAAGCCCAGGGGTGAGCACATAATCCCTCTAATTGTTAAGTAATAGAGCAAAAACATTGATGTCATTAAACTTCATTTGAATTTTTGAAGTTTTGCATTTGATTTAAAAGGTTGTCTGCTAAAAGATAAAAAAAAAACTTTAATTAACTGATGGTTCCAACTTTCAGTCCAGACGACGATAGATGGGCCCCTAGCAGAGGTGGTAGACCTGACGAAGGGAGGGATGGTTGGCGTAGCCGTGAGGGACGTGATGATGGTGAAAGAGATAGTTGGAGAGGAGGTCCTAGGGATGACCGAGCACCACAGAGAGAAGAACGTGGGTATGAAAGAGGCCCAAGAGACAGTAGAGAAGGATATGGTGATAGAGGTCCTAGGGATGACCATGATAGCTACAGGGGCCCTCCAAGAGATGACCGTGATGGACCGCGAGATAGACCTCCCCCAAGGGAGGAAGGACGCTGGGGTGACCGAGGTCCCAGAGATGACCAGGATGGGCCACGAAACTGGCGACGAGAAGAAAGAGGCCCAAGGGATGAAGGAAGTGGGGGATGGAGAGGAAGTCGAGGCGGTGACTCTGAAGGTGGAAGATGGGGTTCTAGAGGAGGTGACTCTGAAGGAGGAAGGTGGGGATCAAGAGGAGGGGAGTCCGATGGTAGAAGGTGGGGCTCTAGAGGGGGAGATTCTGAAGGTGGAAGATGGGGTTCTCGAGGTGGCGACTCTGAAGGTGGAAGATGGGGTTCCAGAGGAGGGGACTCTGAAGGTGGTAGTCGTTGGTCTAGAGGCGGTGATTCTGATGGAGGAAGAAGAGGAGGTGATTCTGAAAACAGATGGTCAAGAGGAGGAGACTCAGAGGGTGGAGGCAGATGGGGCTCAAGAGGAGGTGAATCAGAAGGTGGTCGATGGGGGTCCAGAGGAGGAGACTCCTCAGAAGGGGGACATAGGGAACGTGACTCTGATGGTGCAGGTAGATGGGGATCTAGGGGTGGAGACTCGGAGGGTGGAAGCAGATGGGGATCAAGAGGTGGAGATTCTGAAGGTGGACGAAGGGGAGGCGACTCGGAGGGGGGAAGTAGATGGCGGCCAGGAACAGGAAGGGCAGGAATGCCTCGGGACGTACGCCTGGATGATCCAAATCCAGAAAATAGACCACCCAGGGCAGGTAAGCCTTTTTCAAGTAATGTTAAACCAGTTTGATCAGTAGAGCTGTCATATCAAGCCGTATAATGGATTCTACATCTGTGGTCACCCGCTAGAATCTGAGGGGAACTAGAGTTTTTCATTGTGTCTGTCCATCCTTCCACTCTCTTGTCCAGGCTCTTTTCTTCAACACTACTTGTCACTAGAAATTTACACTTAAGGTATGGGTCCGCCTTGGTGTGGTGGTGTCTCCTGTATCAGAAGTAGGGTCACTCTGAACCACAATTTGTCATTTGATCTACAAAATTTTGTCTTTGCTGATAATCTCCTACACTACTAGTCACTGAAAGTTCATACTTAGTGTATGGGTTCACCTTTGAGAGAAAGTGACTTGGTGAGGGACAGTAATTTACTGCATGGTCTTGTTTGAATTTGAAATGATAATCTTGTTAGTCTCAATAACTGAAAAAACAAAAGAATGAATTCAATTTCATTTTAAGAGTTATATAAATTGGCAAAAGTATGTATAAGACAAAATGTTTTGAAAAACAAAACAACAGATTAAATTCCATATGATGTACACACAAATTTTAAAAAGTTTTTTAACTCCTCGAGTTATTTACTCTGTGGAATATACCTCATGCAACAAAATAATATACAAAAGATAATGGCACAGACAAGATATCTCATGCTGCAGAGTCTGGTATAAATGTTACATTGGCAAGGCAACAAAACCAGACAACCAAAACAAAATATAGTACACACGGTTGTTAAAACTGCCCTATATCGTTACCACTGCTGTTTGCTGTGAACTGTGGTGTTAAGCGGGGCATATATAGACAGCTGAGAATGTCTACTTGTTCACACCCATTCTTGGTTCCGAACAAATGAACATCAGCTTACAAACGAGCCTCAATTACCCTATAATCTGACAGAAAATAATTTTATTTGTATACATTACATTAGAGTAGAAACACGAACAAACTGGTTTCAGTACAGCAGAATAATGTTGTTGTTTTTTCTTCTATATCAATGGTTCAAATTTTTTCAGTTTCTTGAAAATCTTAAGTTATTTCAAGCAAAATGGATTTTTTTAACAAAAAAGTAAGGAAATGTACATCAGTGTTTTCTTTATGTATTTTTAACAACTTTACCCCACTCCTGAAAACAACTTCTACATCAATTCAATAAAATTTCAAATATCTAGGCCACAGTTGTATCCTGATTGGATGGTGATTGTGCATGGTACCTCCATGTTTAAAAGTTGGTGTTTCTGAACATGCCACAGTGAAAACTTGATAAGTTTTTTAGTCCATATTGATCAACAATTTATTGATGCTTTTAATACCATTAAGAAGGTTCAGCCTTAGCGTTGCCACATTCTATTATATTAGATTGTGGTGTCATTAAAAGGCAAACATCAAAATGACTCTGATTGAATTCTTGTTAAAACCTACATATGGTGATGACAAACTGCGGATGAGTTAACAATTTCTATTACTATAAGTACATGCAGAGTTTATGATGCATTGTTAGATCATTTTTAATGCACATGAATGTGCCCTACATTGTTGCCACTATTTCATTGTCACCTGACACCTGAGGTTGTGTACTTTTTCAGATTAAAAGAGGATAGATGTTCAAAAAGATGATTATGCAACTGTATTTCATGAACACAACCTACAATTGACAAGTTTATGATACTACCAAGGAATGTTCAATGTTTGATCTCATCAGATTTGTCTGACCATCAGAAATTTCTGGGGGTTTGACCATTCATTCGCCGATTGTCTGATGACCGTTAAGGGCCATGATTCTATGTCAAAATTAAAAGGCCCTGGATGTCTTGTGTTTCAAAAAAAATAAAAACCCTCAAATAATTTTACAGTAAAATGCTAAAAGCAAAGCAATCAGGGAAAACCATCATGTAAGGTCCTACTCAGTTTTCATTGATCAACTGTTATTATGTTTTGGTTCATTGTTTGTTTCTTATTTAGAAGTGTCCTCCATGATGCCTTTGCGTTGCCATGTTTTATCTCATTAGACCATGGTGTCATTAAAAGGCAAACATCAAAATGACTTTGATTGAATTCTTGTTAAAACCTTCTTATGGTGATAACAACTATGGATCGGTCAACAAATGCCACAGAGTGTTCAATATATGATCATCACTTAAATAATACAGTTTGATCAGCAAAATTTGGAGTCAATTAAATGCCCAATTTTTTTTATTTTTCCCATTCCAACTTATTAAAATTTCTAAGAGGAATAATAGTTAAAGTAATCATTTGGAAATCTGGAGAGTACTGTCCCATGTATGTTGTGTTGCCTGAGCAATGTTGTGTATTCTATTTTGTGCTACAAAGGAGAGAAATTAAACTAACCCTGCTTTAGTTGTTTTGGTTTACTGAACATTTAATAGCATCTGATGACATTGTGTTATTTAGCTGTATACTAGATATATTTGTTTCTCACAACTTATAATATGAGACCATGGTGTCATTAAAAGGCAGACATCATAATTGACTTTGATTGAATTCTTGTTAAAACCCACATGTGGTGATGACAAACTGTGGATAAGTCAATAATTACTACAAGTAAATAGGTTGCAAACCACTGAACATTAGAGTGTTTCTTACATAAATAATTGCTCTACATCTTTTTTCTCATTTCTAAAGATGTCTGGTAATAAATACTTTGCATTTCAAACAGAAAATAATAAAATGTGATGTCTCTTAGTCTGGCATGTTAAGGAAAGTCATTGTGCAGCAAATATAATTTTCAGTATTTCAGTCATCTTGTCACTGCTGTGTTTGTTGGTGTGGCTAAATTGTAATTACTCTTTGTGTTATAGAGGATTCAAGGCGAGGAGAAGGAAGTAGGGCAACAAGAGAAATCCCATCCCCTGAAAAAGGTACATGTTCAGATCAATAGGAGTGAAGACGACTCAGACAAATAGTCAAACTCTATTAAGGAATTACATTTTGGCAAAATACAATTAATCCAGTGCAAGCAGTAGATTAAAATGATGCAACTTGTTTTGTGTAACTTCCTATGCTTCATGAGATAAGCAAATGTATACAAGAATCAACATGTTTTTTAATTTATTATGTCAAATCAAGTAGGATTTTTTTTTCCTAATAAGAACTCTGATAATTGAAGAAATACATGTATTTTAAAGCATTTCTATTAAAACTTAATGAACCATTCAGTAGAGTCATGGCTTGTAGACTCTCTGAAATATGTAAAATTTTATTAGGTTTTCTGTAGGGATGTTTAAATTCACATTTACATATCTTGAGATTGATTTAAATCAAAATCTTTTGATGTTGATGGATACTGTAGTACTGTAAGGACAAACTACCTGGTACTAAAGTTTTACCTGCAAAGACAAAAAAAACTGTTATACCCATGTACATACAAAATTTATTTTAAAAGTAGTTTTACCTTTCATCATATTCTGAATTTTTATGACAAATTTTACATAAATTACCTTGATATGTGTATTTGTACTAAAACCTTTTTTTATTTTTACTACAGGTAAAAACCGTGGTGATGGTGAGAAGCAGGAGGATGGCTGGACAACAGTGAACTATAAATAGAGAACTACTAAACATGACTGAATATATACCAACATTTCTTGACACTCTATTTCTTGCTTCAATATTTTTGGAAATTTGTGTTGAATTCATTATTTATTAATTGTTAAGCAAGGTGTTTTGCCCTGATGTGATAACTGTAAAAGTTGTCACAGATTTTTGTGAAATGGAATTAAAAAAATTGGAATTCATTGATTTTCCTAGCCCCAAGTATATTTGCTTTGAAATATACTTTGATTAATATTTATTAAAAATTAAATTGTTATGCCTTAGATTTGCCTCTAGGTAACATTTCATCTGATATACAAAAATATGATTATGATGACAGTAATGTGAAAAGTTTGTATTTGTCAGAAAAATGCAGGGGAAAGAACATTTGATTTCAAAAATCACTCTGTTAATTGTGCATATTGCTGCTTATTTTTTGTGTAAATATATGTTTCCTGATTGTGTAACACAAGTTATCATGCAATTTATAAAAATGCTTAATTAATGTTGGATGATACTGTCTAAATAATGATTTAATGCACAAATAAAATGACATGTCTGGAATTTAGAATGAATTGCTAATTTTAAAAAAGTGAGGTAACATCAACTTTTCTAAACTTTACAGGTCAAACATATTGATATTGCTAAATGCATATATAATGTACCCAGATGTTTGAGAGGTTTTAGATGGTGTATACAAGTTACAATTACATATGGTAATTACTCCGAAGGTATGATCTACTGTTACAACTGTAATTATGTAAATTGTTTGTACATGTAACATCATGAACAAAAATATTTGGGATTTGCATATATTTAGATGAAATTTTAAAAATTTTTTTAAATGCTTGATTTTTGTCCTTGGAATTCCTACTTCAGTAATTTTTGTACACTCATTCAAATAACAGTGTGCTAGAAATCAGTATATTATACTGGGTTTTGCCTGGACGAATCAGAATTTTTCTTTATAATTTGTATGTGTTTTGGGATACATTTAGTCCCAACATTATAAAGCTGAATTTCTGGACTTCAACTTGTGCTGATGAAAGACAGTTGTGCAGAGTAATGGCGTATATGTTGTTTCAGGACTGAGGACACTTCATGTTCACACCTGACAATTGGAAACGGATATATATAGCCTTGAATATACTAAAATGTTTCTAGATGAAGGCTGTTTTGTATATAAGTGTGATCATAAGTGCTGAAAAAATAAACCAATGGTAATATTATCATTTGTTTGTTTTATTGTCCTGGAAGGAAAAGTTCACTAATGCTTTGAGGTGATTTAACTTTCTATGTCATTTGTCGACATGGTGCATCATTATACTTCTTGTGTGATGGTGTAGATGGATGGATGTCGAGGGTCATTAAAACATGCAGAGGTATCCAGAATCCCCAAGTAAAATTCCATCATAATGGTCTGTGATATAGAATTCAAAATAAACCGAAATTGGCTCATTGATTTAGACAGGATCCTAACTTATTGTTACTTGTACTATTAAATATAAATAAATAAAAGAAAACGTGGCTGTGTAATGTATGTCTTACAGTAGGACATTAAACTACTGTGTAGGAAATGTGCTAATTGCCTGCACACTTTGTGAAATTCATTTTCATTATGTGAACTCGTTCTTATGTACACGGTATGGTTTTTGTACTGAGATGAGTGAAACTGCAACTTGTTAAATATGTGCACCATTGCATAGATAACGAAAACTGAACGATGAGAAGTTTTCTGAAAACAAATATGAAAGAACAGTGTAATAGTTAAGGCCAGTGCTTAAGTTTTCCAAAGGTGAAGGTCGTAAGGGGGAAAACATGAAAGTGATACATCTTAAGTGCAATAGTTATGGTCATTTTTTTTTTTTTTTTTTTCAATAAAGGTAAAGGTCACATGGTAAAATATTTTGGTATAACCGGAAAGGCCTTCACACATGCTAAATATGAAAGCCCTACCTCTCACGGTACAATAGCTATGGACAATGTGAAAGTTGGCAACAGACAGCACAAACAATATGCCCTTAGCCTTTCGATGATGGGGGATACAAATTCCAACTATGTAGAGATACCCAAAAGACTCTTAACACTAAGTCTAAGACTTTCGTGTCTAGTACTCCCAATATAGATTTTGATAATCTTATACGTGTAGATATGAAAGATAACTTTTCAGTGAAAATCTACTATGGACAAGAATGGTACAAATTATGAATTTTATTAACTTGCCATTTTCGAATTTAAAAGAGACATTGGACCCTCTGAAAATTCAGGCATCAATGACTCTCCAGGTCAATTTGCTACCGCACTTGTTATCTTGTATCTAGAGTCACATGACATCTGTAAAGCATTGACATTGTGTTGATCTAGGCCACCATGTCAATTACAGTCTGCCACGGATATTTTGGTATGACTGTTTAAGTTGACCATTATGTCCATCTTGTGCCTTGTGGTTTATTTGACAGCTAATTTCATACAGTTTATTTTCTCGGAGTGGACATTGTGCCGTTAGTTTTGTCTTCCCTTTGAATGAAGGTATGGAAGTATCTTTGTTTAATCTGGTTCTAACAATTTTTGTCCAAACAATAAACCATCAGACATCTCGATGAAAGCTGTTGTACACTTTTATTACCTAAAGCTGATGTACAGTGCTTCAATGTAAAAACAATCATAATATTTATTCAAGGAAAGACCCACCTTGGAACCCTGTCGAACCCCAGCCGAAGAATTAAAGTATTTTTAGGGGCTTCAAAAAGAGTGCAGTGTTCTGTACATACAGGGTTATTGAGAGAGGGTAAGTCAAAATACCTGTTCATAAAATATGTATGGTTTGATGAATAACCGATATTCTGCTTGCTATTAAAACTATGATATTTCAGTATCACTAACTAATTCTGACGCATAACCGTATTGTACATGTATATGTGCAGTTTCTTCACGCACATCCTACTACAAAGGTAGCAAATATCCATATTGCTTGAAAGGGAGACATGATTTTGTTCACCGAAACTAATCTCTAGTTTGAAATTCGGCTTACATCGTTACCTGAACTTACAAAATCAACTTCATTCCCATAATTTGCAAGACGAGCGCACTAGGGGTAATTCGTGAACTTTTAACGTTTCATTTAATGGACGTACGGACTAAGGTATACTGTCCGTGCTCTAAGTATGAAGATAACCACTGAAATGTGTTTTTGTCGCGATATAAGTTCATAGCATGGATAAATGGCGTCATTTTGGTTTCGTCTGGTCCGCGACATCAAACTGGTATCTCGTACCAGTGTCACGACATAGAAACTACACATCCATTAAACAGATCTCCTGTTCGGTGGCCCGGTCACGACATCAAACTTTCCTTCCATACATTGATCAAGACACAGCATGCAGACTACACATTCATTAAAAAGATCTGTACGGTGGCCCGGTCATCACATCAAACTTTCCTTCCATACTTTGATTCAGCCACAGCATGCAGACTACACATCCATTAAACAGATCTCCTGTTCGGTGGCCCAGTTGCAACATCAAACTTGCCTTCCATACTTTGATTCAGCCACAGCATACAGACTACACATCCATTAAACAGATCTCCTGTTCGGTGGCTCAGTCACAACATCAAACTTTCCTTTCATACTTTGATTCAGCCACAGCATACAGACTACACATCCATTTAACAGATCTCCTGTTCGGTGGCCCAGTTGCGACATCAAACTTTCCTTCCATACTTTGATCCAGCCACAGCATACAGACTACACATCCATTAAACAGATCTCCTGTTCGGTGGCCCAGTCACGACATCAAACTTTCCTTCCATACATTGATCCAGCCACAGCATACAGACTACACATCCATTAAACAGATCTGTACGGTGGCCCAGTCAAGACATCAAACTTGCCTTCCATACATTGATTCAGCCACAGCATACAGGCTACACATCCATTAAACAGATCTGTATGGTGGCCCAGTTGCGACATCAAACTTGCCTTCCATACTTTGAATCAGCCACAGCATACAGGCTACCCATCCATTAAACAGACATCAAACAAATTTGCCTTCCATACACATCCATTGAATCAGCATGACATCAAACTTGCCTTCCATACATTACAGCCACAGCATACAGACTACACATCCTAAACAGATCTACGGTGGCATACATTGATCCAGCCACAGCATACAGACTACACATCCATTAAACAGATCTGTACGGTGGCCCAGTTGCGACATCAAACTTGCCTTCCATACATTGATTCAGCCACAGCATACAGGCTACACATCCATTAAACAGATCTGTATGGTGGCCCAGTTGTGACATCAAACTTGCCTTCCATACTTTGAATCAGCCACAGCATACAGACTACACATCCATTAAACAGATCTCCTGTTCGTTGGCTCAGTCACAACATCAAACTTGCCTTCCATACTTTGATTCAGCCACAGCATACAGACTACACATCCATTAAAAAGATCTGTACGGTGGCCCGGTCGCGACATCAAACTTTCCTTCCATACATTGATCCAGCCACAGCATACAGACTACACATCCATTAAACAAATCTGTACGGAGGCCCGGTCAAGACATCAAACGTGTCTTCCATACATTGATTCAGCCACAGCATACAGGCTACACATCCATTAAACAGATCTGTTTGGTGGCCGCGTTTCGACATCAAACTTGCCTTCCATACTTTGATTCAACCACAGCATACAGCTACACATCCATTAAAAAGATCTGTACGGTGGCCCGGTCATGACATCAAACTTTCCTTCCATACTTTGATTCAGCCACAGCATACAGGCTACACATCCATTAAACAGATCTTCTGTTCGTTGGCTCAGTCACAACATCAAACTTGCCTTCCATACTTTGATTCAGCCACAGCATACAGACTACACATCCATTAAAAAGATCTGTACGGTGGCCCGGTCATGACATCAAACGTGCCTTCCATACTTTGATTCAGCCACAGCATACAGGCTACACATCCATTAAACAGATCTTCTGTTCGTTGGCTCAGTCACAACATCAAACTTGCCTTCCATACTTTGATTCAGCCACAGCATACAGACTACACATCCATTAAACAGATCTCCTGTTCGGTGACTCAGTCACGACATCAAACTTTCCTTCCATACTTTGATTCAGCCACAGCATACAGACTACACATCCATTAAACAGATCTGTTTGGTGGCCGCGTTTCGACATCAAACTTGCCTTCCATACTTTGATTCAGCCACAGCATACAGCTACACATCCATTAAACAGATCTCCTGTTCGTTGGCTCAGTCACAACATCAAACTTGCCTTCCATACTTTGATTCAGCCACAGCATACAGACTACACATCCATTAAACAGATCTCCTGTTCGGTGACTCAGTCACAACATCAAACTTTCCTTCCATACATTGATCCAGACACAGCATGCAGACTACACATCCATTAAACAGATCTCCTGTTCGGTGGCTGTCACGACATCAAACTTTCCTTCCAAACTTTGATCCAGCCACAGCATGCAGACTACACATCCATTAAACAGATCTGTATGGTGGCCCAGTTGCGACATCAAACTTGCCTTCCATACTTTGACTCAGCCACAACATACAGACTACACATCCATTAAACAGATCTGTACGGTGGCCCTTTCGCGACATCAAGCTTGCCTTCCATACATTTAACGAGCACGACATACAGACCGTCCTTGCAGATTGAGTAACTATGAAAACGCTTGTTGCTAGAGATAATTGTAGCGTTGGTACATGAAAGTGATCACGGTACTACCAGGGATACGTTGCATCTTACTCAACACAAAGAAACTTTTAAATTCTACATTACCCTTTATGTTCCCATCTACTTTCATCTCTCCTGCCTTCAGCGTCAAATGATATACACAATTAAAATAGAATGGTTATGTAAATATTGACTTAATTTGGCCAGCAGTATTGCTGGGACAAAAGGACCTCATGTCATATGAACGAGTCGCTTCACCTTTTCCGTAGTAGACTAGCTATGATATCGTAAACCTGTCGCGTGTATTTTTGGTGAGCAGACATTTTTGTTCAAATGCATTGCCTTGACCTACTTTCAACGTCACATGGGTCAAATGCGTTGAGGAATAGACTTTAAAGATTGACCTAACGAACCGATACAATCATTTATGTAAGCTGAAGAACAGATGAGCAATTCCGCCCATTAGACCTCTTGTCTATTTCTCCCCATTGGACATCGCAGACAT